TAATTGGATTTTCTTTCTGGGAGTGGCAGGCAAATACTTTGTGGGCATTCCTCTAAGATAGCTTTTATTTGAGCAAAACTCCAGATCTACCCTCCCTCTTTTTGTGACACAGCTGGTGATCTGCTGCATAACATTATTTTTGCATTTTCCCTTACTCTGGTTACAGCTGCAAGTATTTACTTTCTTTTCCTAGTTTTCCACTCTCAGTGCTTTGCTATTATAAATAGTGGCACAATGTAGAACAAATGACCTTATTTTATGCATGCTGGAGTATCACTAAGGATTAATTTCTGTAAGTAGAATGTCTGGATCCAAAGGGCACTTGTATTTTTCAAATTTTGTCCAATATCTCTACGTTTCATAGAAGCAATACCAATTTACACTTCTGCCAATAATCCCCTGACTGGGCCAGCATGTTGGGAAATACATTATTGGCTGTTGTTGGAGAAAGTGTAAATTGGCATAACCTCCACAGGGAGGTATTTAGCATATTTGCCTGTTTAATAGTGACGTGTTTTTTCAGCAAAGTGTTTTTATTTCTCAAGATGTGTATTGTGTACAGAGTTAAGCCTTCCCCCCACTGCTATGCTTTTTCTTTTGTATTAAATACATTCTTTACTTACATCTCTTTTTTTTATTGAATCGCGACGAGCTGCAGTTACAAAGCGTTCATGTTTGAGTTTCAGTCATACAATGATCAAACACCCATCCCTCCACCAGTGCACATTTTCAGCCACCAGTGTCACCAGTATCCCTTCTTCTTCCCCTGCCCACCCCTCCCCCTTTCTCTATGGCAGACAATTTCCCCCATACTCTCTCTCTACTTATGGACATTATAGTTTTCAACACAGATCATGAGAGGCCATCATGTTTGCTCCTTTATCTGCTTTCAGCACACATCTTCCATCCTGAGTGGGAGATCAACCATCATTGACTTTTAGTGATTCCTTCTTTATCCAAGCTGCCTTCTTCCCCAGCAGGCTTCCCTCCATGAAGCAATCTTCCTGGTCCTTGTCTCTACTATCCTTGATCCCTGCTATGCTTATAAAACCCACATACACTTACCTTTAGCAAACTAGTCCATATCATTTCTCATCAAAAAAACTGTGTTGTTAAGGCTTCACTTCCTGCCATCCTTATTGATCTGTGAACTCCTTGTGTATTAAAGAAATTGCAATTTGCTTTCAGTTCTTCACTTTGTCTTTTTAGGAGGCTGGGGAGGTAGCACAGTGGGTAGGGAACATGCCTTGTATGCAGCTGACCCGGGATCAATTCCTAGCACCAGGAGCACTCTGGGCCCCAAATGAAAACAAATCAGTTTGTCTTTTTATTTGGTACATTTTTTTAAATATTTTTTTATGCAGATTTAAAAAATATGTTTCTGTTGCTGAGTTTCTCTTTTAGAACTTTAGAGTTTTAGGACTTAGGCATTTCACATTTTGTGATGATAGAACTTCTTCCATGTTTTCTTCTCCTGAATGTATGGTATCCCTTTTTTTTTTTTTTCATTTTGGGTCATACCCAGCGATGTTCAGGGGTTACTCCTGATGGTGCTTGGGGGACCATAAGGGATGCCAGGGATTGAACCCAGGTTGGCAAAGTGCAAGGCAAACGCCCTACCCCCTGTACTGTCTCTCTGACTCCTGGTCACAGTCATGGTCACAGTCCTCTCATTATTCATTGATTTGCTCAAGTGGGCCCAGTAACGTCTCCATCGTGAGACTTGTTGTTACTGTGTTTGGCATATTGAGTACGTCACGGGTAGCTTGTTTTGCCTGAGGGCGAGATAATCTCGGTAGCTTGCTGGGCTCTCTGAGAGGGGCGGAGGAATCGAACCCGGCTTGGCCAGCCGACTGTGTGCAAGGCAAACACCCTACTGCTGTGCTATCTCTCCAGCTCAGTTTTAATCTTGTACTTCTATTATTTATTTTTCTTGGAATTTTGTACTTGTATGGTTTTCTTACTATCATAAATGGGTTCTTCTCCTTATTAGGCCTTTAAACTGACCATGGTTTGATTATGTGGAGGCTGTTATGCTTGTTTTTGGTTGGGCGTCACACCTGGAAGACTTCATGGTTTACTCTCTGCCCCGTGTTTAGGTATCACTCCGGGTGGGGCTTGGGAGGATTATATGTGGTGCTAGGGATCAGATGGGGTCATCTGCATGCAAGGCAGGCGAGTTAAACCCTCTGCTTTCTCTCTGGCCTCTACATGGACATTCCTAAGTGGTTGTTTTTTTTTTTGATTTTTGGGTCACAGGCAGCAATGCACAGGGGTTACTCCTGGCTCTGCGCTCAGGAATTACCGCTGGCGGTGCTCAGGGGACCATATGGGATGTTGGACCTTTAACCCGGGTCAGTAGCGTGCAAGGCAAACGCCCTACCTGCTGTGCTATTGCTCCAGCCCCTGGATGTTCCTAAGTTCTTTATTCTAATTTTATATCTAGGCAGCTTAGCTAGTTCTCTTACCACGTGTACTAATAGTAGGGTTGTGCATGCGTGTAAGCATGCTTGTGTGTGTGAGTGCGTGCATGTGTGTGTGTGTGTGTGTGTGTGTGTGTGTTTTCTCCTTGTTGGATTTCCTATAACTTCTGTCAAGTCACAGAGCGAGAGAGCTCCTGAGCCCAGGTGATTGTTAGTAGCCCTCCCCACTTGGAGCTTGTCCACAACACCACAGTTGGGCTTCCAAGTCTCCTCTATGATTTTGGGGGCTCCCCGTTTGAAAGCAGCAGGAATCATTTTACCTCCTCTGGTAAAATCATTTTCCAATGCTTATAAATCTAATTGCATTCATTAGGATTTCCAGGACAGTGTTTAATAATAAGAGCAATTTTCTCATTCAGCTCTGGAACCCAGAAAGTTGTTTTGCCATTTGGGGAAGTATTGAGATATTCTTTTGCTTACCTAAGAGGTTTTAAGACATTAATGTAGCTAAAGAGAGACACTGAAGTTCTCAAACAGAAAAAAATTTTTCTTAGTAAAATGAAAGACAAACTAACAATGGTTACTTTGGTGGATAAAAATTTGACTGGGAAATAAGGGGAGTTTCTGTACAGAGAAAAATATTACATATCTGGACTGAGTAGTGATTATATAAATGTAGCGCCTGTAAATATTTTTAAAAATCACTGAGTTGTGTACTTAAGATTTGTACCTTTGTGCTCTATATATGGCACATGTGAATTAGAAAAGAATGATTGTTGAATTTGACTAGATACCTTTTTGGTTTTTGTGCAGATGACTGTGTCATTTTTATATCTATAAATATGGGGACTATATTAATAAATTTTCCAGTACAAGCTTTTGTGATGATATTTATAAAGGTGCTAGTTTATAGTGAGGTTTTGGAATCAGTGTTATGCTTGCTTCATTCAAACTAGTTTGGAAAAATTGCTTCTTTTTCTATATTCTAACTAAGTTGAAGGGTTTTTAGAAATCATTGTTTTTCATTTGTTCTCTTTTAATCACAGAAAACTTTCTTTTTCTTTTAATAAACTACCCTATAATAATTTTTGGCCTTGTACTTTGATGGAGAAAAAAATGTATCAATTTTTTTCTATTCTTTGATAATTAGCCTTAGGGGTTCTTTTCTCTTTAAAATATAGAGTAAGTTAAATAAATTATAACTCAGGAAATTATGAATTTTTTCAAAATTTTCAACATATTTACATAGAGTTGAGTAAAACAGCACTTTAATTTTCTTTATACTGGTGGTCCTGCTTCCCAACATACCTCATGTGGTATACACTTTGGTCAGTTTGCTTAGTTATTTTTTGTTGTTATTGTTTTGGGGCTGGAGCGATAGCACAGCGGGTAGGGCGTTCGCCTTACAAGCGGCCAACATGGCCGACCCGAGTTCGATTCCTCCGCCCCTCTCGGAGAGCCCGGCAAGCTACCGAGAGTATTCGATATGCCAGACACAGTAACAACAAAGTCTCCAATGGAGACGTTACTGGGCCCGCTCGAGCAAATCGAGGATCAACAGGAGGGCCTTTACCTTACCTTTATTGTTTTGGGGCCACACCTGGCAGCGCTCAGGGCTTACTCCTGGCTCTGCACTGAGGGATGGCTCCTGGCAGATTCAGAGGACCATATGAGATGCAGGGGATTGAACCAGGTTGGCAGTGTGCAAGACAAACACCCTACTCATTGTGCTATCTTTTGGACCCTGTAATGCAGTTTTGCTCTCTCTCTCTTTTATTGATGGGATTATTTATTTTTCCAATGGCCAGCCCCTAGAGTTAACATTTCTAACATTTCCATTTAAAAATTAATATTACATTTATTCTGTTAGCTATTAATTATTCCTTATTATTTTATTTATTTATTTATTTATTTATTTATTTTTGCTTTTTGGGTCACACCCAGCGATGCTCAGGGGTTACTCCTGGCTTATGCACTCAGGAATTACTCCTGGCGGTGCTCGGGGGACCATATGGGATGCTGGGAATCGAACCCGGGTCGGCCATGTTGGCTGTGTGCAAGGCAAACACCCTACTCGCTGTGCTATCGCTCTAGCCCCACCTTCTTATTTTATTTTTATCTTATTTTATTTTATTTATTATTTTCGACAACCTGGCAGGCTACCAAATGTAACCTGCCCACACGGCAGAGTCTGGCAAACTCCTCGTGGCGTACCCAATATGCCAAATACCAGTAACAATGTTGGGTCTCATTCCCCTAACTCCCAACCCCGAAAGAGCCTTGAGTGTGGCACTTTTTAGAATCTCAAGGCTAGGACGAAGGAGACGTTACTGATGCCTGCTCGAGACAATCGAGGAACAACAGGATGATTGTGATCGTGATCGTGATATTTTATTTTATAGCTTCTAAAATTAAATTTTATCATTTATTTTATTTTAACTCATTTATTTTATCTACCTTTGATCATGATTGGTATATATAAAATGCATTTTCCTTAGGATAGTGCTTCAGCTGTATTCCATAGGATTTAGAGGTATTGTCTTAATTATCATGTTTTTGCTATTATGCTATATATATTTAAATGTGGAACGCTTCGTGAATTTGTGTGTCATTCTTGCTCAGGAGTCATGCTAATCTTTGTATCATTCCAATTTTAGTATATGTGCTGCTGAAGCAAGCACTTATTCTGTTATATTTATGAGCCTTTTTTTTTTAAAATCCAAGAGCTATCTTTATAAAGACAACATTTTTTCCAGTGGTGAATTTTTATTTCTGATTTTATTGTCCACCTCTGGTTTTTGTGTGCAGTATCCCTAGTGATGGAACATTTCCCTTTTTTGACTTTGAGCACATTTCAAGTGAAAATGTTCTTTCTGTTTTGAAAATTTTGAGACAAAGTTTGAGACATATCCTTAAAATGTACATAGAATGAAATATCTTCTTTCCCCCTTGTCCAAGCTTCATTTATTTATAGAGGCCATCAGGGCTACATGCTATGCTGGGATCAAACGTAAGGTCTGTTCCACTCCCCTTGAGCTATCTCTTTGGCCCTTAAATTTAATTTTGATTAGTTTGAATGAAACCTTTGAATTGAATGAAAACCTTTTACTCTGGAGGGTTGTTTTCTTTTTTTGCCTATTTCTTCTAGAATCTTTTTAAACATTGAATCTCAGTGAGATACACAGTTACAAAGTTGTCCAGGATTTGTTTTAAGTGATATAATGTTCCAACATCCATCCCTTCACCAGTATACATTTCCCACCACCAATACCTCCATATCCCTCTGGAACCCCCTGCCCCCAGCCTCTATGGCAGGCACTTTTCTTCTGCCCCCATGTCCCCCTATCCTTTGGGCAAACTTATGGCATTATAGTTTGCCATACAGATAAAGGTTATCAGGTATATCCCCTTACCTACTTTTAACATGCAGTTCCTGTTCAAAGTGATCATTTCTAACTATTATTATCATACTGGTCCCTTCTCTATCCTAACTGCCTTTACCCCTTTCCCTGCCTCCTTCCCCCACACCCACACACTTGAGGTAAGCTTCCAACCCCTGACCCATTTCCCCTGGCCTTGGATATTAGTCTCATACTATTGTTCTTTATGAATGCAGTTATTCTATAGCTCCTAGAATCTTGTTTTACTTTTCTTATTAAATATTAAAACATGACAGCTAGTCCCTTCATGGAGTTGATTAGCAAATCCTGTCACTCAAGACTTAATTAACATTTCAGCCTCTCCTAGAAATGGAATCTCAGATCATCAGTCAGGAAACCCCTCATTATAACCAGTGAGTTAGCGATATAGTAATCTACTGCTGTCCCTAAAGAAGGATATTGTCGCAGTCAGTCTGAGTCTTGCCTGGCCCCTGTCTGCTTCTGCCCCGCCTCTTCTGTTTTGAATGGTTTATCAGATCACCTTCCCAGCTGCAGATCAGATGCTATTTGATTATTGAGTTAGTGGCTAAGTCAATCAAGTCTCTAAAATCAGTTGAATTTTGTTAACAGATTTATGCCATTCATGTTTTAGGTAGTTGTAACTATCTTTATTCCACGAATTATAGTTTTCTGCTGAATAAAATCTCATTTTTGGTCTTGGCTGATATTTGTCATCAGAATTGAGTCTATTTGATATTTAGGTCATGATCTATTTTGTTTTTCTAAGCATGTTCTTGGAATGCCATTGTCTATTCTCTTATTTTCAAGCATCGAACGATTTGGGTATAGCTTTTATAGAAAGGAGAGTTGGGTTTGACAACTGTGATATAATCTGGAGTCTTTTTCTTTAATAAGTGAGTTTGACTCAGTAACATATATTTATATGTAAGCTAATACATTTCTCATTTGTTTGTGTGACATATATGCTTGATTTTTTTCTCTGCCATTCTTTGATGTCAAGATTTCTGTTTCTTATTAGGAAACTTTTCTATGTGAATTTTCTCTCCTTTTTTGTGGGTGTATATTTTGGAAGTTTTGTAGAGTTATAACTATAACTCTGTAGAATGTGCTTAACCTTCAGTTCCTGTAGTTTGTTAATTCTCTACCTAATACAAGCATGCCTCAATTTCTTTAGGTTACAGAGTATTTTCTTTTAAAAAATCATTTTATTGGGGCTGGAGAGATAGCACAGCAGATAGGGCATTTGCCTTGCACGCGGCCGAACCAGGTTTAATTCCCAGCATCCCATATGGTCCCCTGAGCACCGCCAGGAGTAATTCCTGAGTGCAGAGCCAGGAGTAACCCCTGTGCACCGCCATGTGTGACCCAAAAAGCAGAAAAAAACATTTTATTAACGTACCATGGTTTTCAGTTATTCATAGGTAAATTTTATTTTATTTTTAATTTTTATAATTTATTTATTTATTGAATCACTGTGGGAAAAGTTACAAAGCTTTCAGGTTTAGGTCTCAGTCATGCAAATATCAAACACCTTTCCCTTTACCATTACTTATTTTTTACCACGAAGAACCCCAATAAAACCCCACCCCCACCCCTCCCAATGCCTGCGAGGCAGATGAATTCTAGTTGACACTCTATCTGCTTTGATTGGATTCATTGTTGCAATAAAAGATGCACCACTATTATTTAGAGTTTATCCCCTCCCCCCAAATCAGACATGCTGAGAAAGCATTGTGAAGTGATTCGCTTTCTACAGTTGGGTTCAAGAATTAAATGTTGGTTTTGGATTTCCGCTGGAGCGATAGCACAGGGGGTAGGGCGTTCGCCTTACACGCGGCCAACATGGCCGGCCCGAGTTCGATTCCTCCGCCCCTCTCGGAGAGCCCGGCAAGCTACCGAGAGTATTCGATATGCCAGACACAGTAACAACAAAGTCTCCAATGGAGACGTTACTGGGCTCGCTCGAGCAAATCGACGATCAACGGGAGGGCCTTTACCTTTACCTTTACCTTTGGATTTCCGCTATTTTGCTAATTAACCCTGGAAGTATTTCTACTGAGAGTCAGATAATTAAGAGATTGGTTTCTGTGCTCTGGAGTCGTGGCAGTGATGGAGAGCCGCTCGTGGGGGGCAACTGGTGACCTTGGTAGGGCGTGAAGGACGGACCAGAATGCCCCCCTTCCCATGAGGTTTTTGTTGCCCCTGCGCCCCCAGCTCATACCTGCTGTCCACAAGGCTCCCATGCGGCCACCATCTTTCTTTCCAGAGGGAGGAGGGTGGAAGGGAGCAACACCCTTTCCCCTCTGGGCAGACATGATGGCCTGGATTAACGCATAGTCCTTTCACTTTTCTGCTCCAAGCTGCTGGGTTCTGCATTAAGTCCTTGTGCTTCTGGGACTGTGGCCATGCTGGAGAGCCACTCGTTGGGGGCAACTGGTGGCCTCGGTAGGGCGTGAAGGACGGACCAGAACGCCTCCCCTTCCCATGAGATTTTAGTCGCCCCTGCACCCCCGGCTCATACCTGTTCTCCACAAGGCTCCCATGCGGCCGCCTTCTTTCTTTCCAGAGAGGAGAGGGCGAATGGGACAACACCCTTTCCCCTCCGGACAGACATGGTGGCCTGGATTAACGCATAGTCCGTTCACTTTTCTGCTCCAAGCTGCTGGGTTCTGCATTAAGTCCTTGTGCTTCTGGGGCTGTGGCCGTGCTCCAAACTTAACTCTGATTTTCAGGGAGAAATGTTGGGTGATTTACTTCCCATTGATCACTTTGTATATACAGAGATGTTGCGCTGCCGCATAAGCGGCCGCGCGGTTTGGAGGAAAAGTCCTAGTTCCCGCATACTCGAGCTATGCTTGTGGAGGCTTCTGGTCACCGGGGTTCCATCTGGGGGAGGCGGGATACGGCACCTACCCCATCTGGGACTTCCCGGTGATCTCGGCTCTTTTTGGAAGCTGGTGCCTTCTCCGGGAGCTGTGGAGCCAGCCCTCCATGTGGCCCTTCTCTGCAGCTGTATGCTGTAAAGATGGCCATTTTATTTTATTTTTTAAAAACTTCTATTAGTGAAACACCATGAGGTACAGTTGTAGGTTTACAAATTTTTGTGCTTGGGTTTCAATTGTACAATGATCAAACACCCATCCCTCCACTAGTGCCCGTTTTCCACCACCACGGGTACCAGTATCCCTCCCACCCCCCATCCCACCATCCCACCCTGCCTCTGTGGCTGGGTATTCCCTTTTGTTATCTCTCTCCTTTTTGGTGTTGTGGTTTGCAAAAGAGGCATTGAGTGGCAATCATGTTTGGTCTATAGTCTACTTTCAGCATGCTTCTCCCATCCTGAGAAGATCCTCCCAACCCCTTTTATTTGGTGCTTCTTTCTCTATCTGAGCTCCCTTTTCCCTTAGAATGAGTGGCTGGCCTCCAAGCCATGGAGCAAAACTCCTGGTACTAATCTCGGCCACTCTTGGGTGTTAGACTCCATAGGTAAATTTTATTGTTATTTTAATTTTTTTAAATTTTTATTAGTGAGACACCATGAGGTACAGTTGTAGACTTACAAATCTTTGTGCTTGAGTTTCAATTATACAATGATCAAATACCCATCCCTCCACCAGTGCCCATTTCCCACCACCATGGATCCCAGTATCTCTCCCACCCCCCCTCCCCCCATCCCCCATCCCACCCAGTCTCTGTGGCAGGGCATTCTCCATACATAAATTTTATTTATTTATTTATTTTGCTTTTTGGGTCACACCTGGCAATGCACAGGGGTTACTCCTGGCTCTGCACTCAGGAATTACTCTTGGCGGTGCTCAGGGAACCATATGGGATGCTGGGAATCGAACCTGGGTCGGCCGTGTGCAAGGCAAACGCCCTACCCACCGTGCTATTGCTCCAGCCCCTCCATAGGTAAATTTTAGACATGTAATATTGCAGTCTTTACCCACCGCCAGCGTAAACTTCCCTCTACCAATGTTCCCAAGTTCTCTCCCATATCCCCATGCCAAACATAGTTGTTAAAGCTCAGCTGTTAAAGTTTGGGTCTCTTGATTTCAGTGTTATTGACTCTGTGGTTTGGATATTTGGTTCTCTCACTCTTTAACACCACCTTTATACCTGATCCCCTGATGTTTCTTCTCATCTGTTCCTTCTCCTCCTCCCCTCCCCTCTTTCTTTTCATCTCCTCCCTATACTTTGGGGCCAAGATTGATTTGGGCATCCCCTCCCCTTTTAGAACATTGCATTCCCTTATTCAGTTATTCTAAATATCACATATA